GGTCCACGCACTCTACTGGCCTCGCAGCCACCGCCGACCTCCGGGCCCGCTCCTCCCCCTCCCCGCCCCGCCCCCGCCCCCTCCACCACCACGCAGCCTACAGCGCCGCCCACACTACCCTGCTGCACCCCGCGCCGCCCACACCACCCTCGTACACACTCGCGCCGCTCGGTCTTTACAGATTGATGTTCACGTTGTGCATTTAATATTTTAGCGTCCTTTATAATCGAGGGAAATATGCTGGTGTGCGCCGAGCGTAGTGCTTCCCATAAAACCATAGACGTGGGATATATACGCCATTCTATACCATACGGCTGCCCTCTAAAATGGACCGCAATTTATTACTTAAACCAGAAATCGAGTCAGCAGTTTTAGCTCTCTCACCTGAAATTCGTGGCAAAACTCCGCCAATCTCATTAGGATACACAATCTATACAACTACACTGCCATTGTAAGCGCCGGGCAATTCTATTTCGGCAAATCGGCAAACCTGAGAGCGCACCGACCACAGGAAAACATCAAGCCTCGCACACACACACACACACACACACACACACACACACACACATATACACACATATACACACACACACATATACACACACACACATATATACATATATATATATATATATATATATATATATATATATATATATATATATATATATATATATATATATACATGTATATATATTATATATATATGTTTATATTTTATATATATATATATATATATATATATATATATAATATACATTTCTATGTAAATATATTATATATATCTATATGTATATATATATCTATTATCTACCTATCTATCTATCTATCTATCTATATATATATATGTATATATATGTATATGTATATATATATATATATATATATATATATATATATATATATATATATATACATATACACATATATATATATATATATATATATATATATATATATATATATATTATATAATATATATATATATAATATATATAATATATATATATATATATGTATATATATATATATATATTATATGTAAATATATCATATATACGTGTGTGTGTGTGTGTGTGTGTGTGTGTGTGTGTGTGTGTGTGTGTGTGTGTGTGTGTGTGTGTGTGTGTGTGTGTGTGTGTGTGTGTGTGTGTGCGTGCGTGCGTGTGCGTGCGTGTGCGTGCGTGTGTGTGCATATATATATATATATATATATATATATATATATATATATATATATATATATATTTGTATGAGTCAGCGAGAGACACGAAACTATAACCGCTCCATGAGCAAATCACTCGAAAGTATCAACAAGAAAAAGTAACATGTCGCCTTCCACACAACAAATCATGATACAGTCAGTACCAAAGAACATAAAGTGTATACTATACTCTAGACTGGTACCATCGATTCCAATATCATACTACATCTACGACAATCCTCAGAGTAATTGACTGGAATGTCATAGTAGTGTGTGTTACTAAAATCCTTCAAACTTTATGAAGCAAAATATAATTCAAATCTCCCATACCTTCAACATCTAACAAGAAACGACAATAATAACAGAAACACCAACAAGCAAGGGAAGCAGCAACAAAAACAACAACAGTAACAGAAACAACAACAACGCCAGCTATCATAGAACAATGACAACTCATGATCATCACAATTCCTTATCGATCTGGGCACTCTAGAGCTACCAGTGTCCCCTTACGTCGATGGCAGGGTAATGCAACAAAGTTAAACACAACTCTGTTCTTTGGCCAAGGTGCCATTAAAGAGTTTTAACATAGATATTGGTCCCTTGGCACAGAGAGAGAGAGAGAGAGAGAGAGAGAGAGAGAGAGAGAGAGAGAGAGAGAGAGAGAGAGAGAGAGAGAGAGAGAGAGAGAGAGAGAGAGAGAGAGAGAGAGAGAGAGAGAGAGAGAGAGAGAGAGAGAGAGAGAGAGAGAGAGAGAGAGAGAGAGAGAGAGAGAGAGAGAGAGAGAGGGTGACAGAAATAGAAAGAGGGGCAAAGATAGATAGATAGATAGATAGATAGATAGATAGATAGATAGAGAGAGAGAAAGAGCAGATAGACAGAAAACTGCAAACAGACAAGAAACAAGGAACAAAATAACGAAACGAGAGAGAGAGAAAAAAAAAAAACAGACACAAAAGAATAGACACACGATAGACATGACTCTAAAAGAAGAAATAAAAATCCACCATAGTGACGGCCAGCATACACCAAAACAACATAAAAGCTACAGTTACAATGGCAGCTCTCGCAAATGAGCAGGAAAATATGCGACACGAATACTTCGAGCAGCTCTCAGGAATCAATAGGAAATGGCTGTCATCCTGGCATAGCTTGGCACACCACAATCAAGGAGCTGATCCGACATCATCAATCAGTCTTCGCGACCTCATGGGCCTCACGGCGTATGGTCCCACAAGACTAGAGAAAGGGTTATGTTTACTTTTTGTTGTTTTTACTTATATATATATATATATATATATATATATATATATATATATATATATATATATATATATATATATATATATATACATATATACATATATATACATATATATATACGTATATATATACATATATATAGTTATATATACATATATATAGTTATATATACATATATATAGATATATATACATATATATAGATATATATATATGCATATATGTGTATATGCATATATGTATATATGTATATATTTGTATATATGTGTATATATATGAATATATGTGTATAGATATGTATATATAGATGTATATATATATATATATATATATATATATATATATATATATATATATATATATATATATATATATATATATATATATATATATATATGTTTACATGTATATTCTTATGAACATAGTATACGGCGCTCTCACAAAATTATAGTGGTTGTTCCCCAATGATAAAAGAAAAATATTGTTTCCTTGTTAGTTTTGCCTTGTCATCAAATATACCCTAGACTCTCAACAGCATCGCCGACGATAATCATGGAAAGTTTAGAGAGAGAGGGGAAGAAAAAAAACTATGCTTGAGCTGCCTGCTATTCTCTGTATCTCGTCTCTAAAGCTCACCCAAACAGGGCGTATCCTCGACCACTAAGCTCTTATGGCTGCTATACCTTTATTGCAACTTCTGAAGCCACCCTTACGACCGGGACATCACTATGGCACGTATACTTAAGCGGGCACAACACCTTTCATAGCCATTACATTCACATTATCATTTTTACATGCATGGTTACGGGGCTATCACAAACAACAATGCCAATGTTGCTATCTCATTACCGTTCGTATACATGATCACCGAGGCTTTATATATACAGAGGAATATCAAGATCACTGTATCTTTACGAGGCATACTTGCACTATAACCTCGTAACCCTTGCCCCGCACTGTAAGACTAGTGATACATTCAGATAAACACTATTTCCTTGTAATGATGATAATATTTGCGTAACCTTACTTATTACCGTACTTAATGCCACTCTAATAATTCTCGTAATTGTTATGTATGACGTACCTTCATATTATTTCTTCCTTATGTAATCGTTACATGTAAATATCCTAATTATGCCTTATAACTGGATGAGAATCTATTTGGTTTTCATAATCATACATTTTTTCGAGTCACATAAATATTACGCTTCATCACCATAGTCACATGCTCAGCTATATTTATATCATCCTAGTAGAAAACTTTCGTAATATCAACAAGCTGATTTTACCTAATGAACGCATATCTTCGTTCCCATATTTCCCTATCCCTAAATATCAGACTTTCGGCTTACACTCACGCTTCTCCATTCCCTAACATTTTCTAACGCTTCTTAAACTCCACACATTCTTCCAGTCCCTCACACTTCCTAATTTCATCACATTCCATATCCCCTTCCTCTTTCACCTACATTTCCCTATTCCCTTCACATCTCCCCATGCTCTTTCACTTCCCAATTCCCTCACACTTCCTCACCCGGTCAAATTTTCCCATTCCCTCATACTTCCCCATTCCTTTAGTCTCTACTATTTCCTCATTCCGTTACTCTTCCAGCCAACCACGAAGCCACAACACACCTTCCCGCTGTGCTCGTGACCGTATCTGGAAGATTCTGTACATAATTTATGCACCTCCACAAAACAGTATATACTTCATAAACACTCGATCAATGTGATCATGGTAACTACGAAAGAAAACACCGAAAAAGTGAAAGAATATGAGAGAGAGAGAGAGAGAGAGAGAGAGAGAGAGAGAGAGAGAGAGAGAGAGAGAGAGAGAGAGAGAGAGAGAGAGAGAGAGAGAGAGAGAGAGCAAAAGAATGAATTGTTACAAATCTATCACTGTTATTTTATTGGTCTTGTGGAGGCATGAGGAAATGGATGGATGGATGAACACACACACGAAAACAAACCAAATACGAAAACAAACATCAGTCAACAAGAAACGAAATAAACAAATATCGCCATGCTGTTCTAGGTCTTCAAACTAAAAGTAAATAAATAAATGAATAAATAAATAAAAGGTATCCAGATTTCAATGAACTATCATTCACACTATCCGTGAACGAGAATGAAGACAAAGTATCCATAGCATGAGGAGGAAAAACGCAACACACGGAGAAAAAAAAAAAAAAACGAACAAAACCAAAGCCGAAACACACACGGGAAAAAAAAAAAACGTACATGGAGGTGGAGCCAGCGGCCGTGCGGGTCGACCCTGCATAAGTCATGAAATTCCCGATGTGTGTTGGTCCTCACACCGCCCATCCCTAACTACATACATTGCACCGCAACCCCCGCCCTCCGCCCTCCGCCCGCCCCCCGCTGATTGCCTCGTACGCACACGTGTCTGCACATGTGCGTGCGCGTGAGAGAGAGAGAGAGAGAGAGAGAGAGAGAGAGAGAGAGAGAGAGAGAGAGAGAGAGAGAGAGAGAGAGAGAGAGAGAGTGAGTGAGTGAGTGAGTGAATGAATGAG